GTTCGAATCCCGTTGAAGCCCTGATTTTTTCAGGCTTCTTCTTTCCAATTGCTTAAATTGGAAAATTAACTGCGATGATCATTCTTCACTTTCATTTACTGCCACTGTTGATTTCTTTACAAAACGTCGGGAATAGAGAAATACTACTATCAGTTCAACGTCTAATGCTCAGTTGTACCATAAATACTTAGAATAATCATAATGTCTGCCGCAATTTAGTACAGCACTAACTATAAGCTTGTTAGTTAAAACGATCAAAACAAACACAGACCGTGTAACCCAAGCCCCTCCCACACATTCAAGACAGACAGGCGTACACCGTTATTTATTTAAGCCGGGTTAACCCAATCAGAGTGAAAGCTGACTCTGTTACCAAAAGGGACCCTGGAACAGTTTTTATCATGTCTAACAGTGTCAAGGCAGTTTTAGCATGTTACCTTACCTCTTCGTTCAGCTATGAAGAGAGGTGTAAATGAAGCCATGAACACAAACAATGTACAAAGGAAATCCAAGCGATAAGCGAACCACCTTGAAGTAGCGATAAATAGAAACCAAGTTTCGGTATGCTGATCTTGACATAAATTGAACTCCTGCATCATTAACTGCTGTAAATTGTGAGTACGGATTGAAGGCAGGCCTTCCAATGTTGTTGTCAAGTGTGATAGTACTGGACTTCGAGCTGCAAATCAATTCACACAAATTTTGTTCATTTGTAATCGTTAATCGCAAGGAAATGTAGCGATGGAAGCTACAGCTGCAGTGAAGAAGCACATGATAAGAAAAAAAATACCCTAAATGCTAGGTACCTGTGGCTTCGAGCCGTTTAATTTCTCTGGAAGTCTTCAAGTAGTAGTTCCTCACACAATAGAATACAAGAGTGAGCGGAACCAGTCCTACCAAGATGAACGGCATTACCATCACATTAACAACCACCACTGCGACAACTAACAGACCAAGCTAACAACAGAAAACAAACGCTGATTGTCAGTCCTATATGTTAAGGTTAGTCACACTTTTTATTCATCAAATTAACAACACTGAAAACACCATTTGAATTCTCTTGCAGTGATCACAGGAGCGATAATTCAAGTCATTCTTTGAAGAAAACTTCAGAAAACCGTAGAACCCCGCGAAAAGATTTTAAAATGTTGGGAAGTTTTTAATCTATTGATTTGAGCAATCTTACATGTACAGGATGACTTCACAGGAGTTTTTCTAATGTTGCTTTACACTACAATGCATCCTCGATAGAAGAGACTGAAAAACCTGAATTGGTTAACGACAATGATTACATGTTGTTGATATGTGTTTCAGAGTTAATAAAATTACCTGAAGGAAATCAAAAAATGTTTCTGGAATAAGACTGTCCATGTATGCAGTATCACTTGAAAACCGGTTCAGGACCCGACCTGAGTAAGGCAATCAACAAACCATGAAAAAAGAGAATACCTTTAAACAATATATAAAACAATTCTTAGCTTTTGACGTGAGACAAAGTAAGAACACTGATAATCATATGTACCAAATACAAACGTCACAGGTTTTTTCCCCAGGACTTTTCAACCACAAATCAGCAGTATTCAAGAAACTCGTTTTTCTCAGAATCACAGGTAAAATCTGTTTAGATAAGGGCGGACATAAAATACAGAATACTTGACTCTTGGACTTCTTCACATAATAATCACTTAACTCCTGTATAATTAAGGTCATCTTAACTGTAATCTCAAGTATTCAAAGACTTGAAAACAAAATTCAAAACCTTAGTATTAATTTATCTCGAGTAGTTAGGCATCAGATTGGAATGTTGAACTTTTAAAAATTTCTTAACCAGTAGACTTTGTTACTAAGATATACACTAAATACCTTGACATTCTTATGAAGTTTTGGGAATAAGGGGATAACTTTATACAAATACAGGTTTGTTAGAAAATTGTTGTTCTAAAATAAGAGGGTTTATTAGAGATTAAAGGAGGTATATTATTAAATTAACACTTCAAAAGTACAAAGCATTGTTACAAAGGTAGTCTAAAGAAAGAAAACTCGGATAGTTTATCGATAATAATATAATTATACTGTACTGTAGATAAGAATACCTATTGGATTTGTGTCAAAGAAGTAAATAGGTGCTCGTATGACTGCATCAAACATGTGACTGTGAAGTTTCTCGGATGCCTTTACAGTCACGTGGAAGAACAGAAGAACTCGAATGAATGACAGAACAAGTGTGCCAGCCACCAGGCCTCCGTAGATGATCATGTAAATCTCCTCCACACTTGTGTGAGATACGGACTCAACCATAGCAGCTTGTACGAATGTGAAAAGAAACATGTCTTGCCCTTGAGAGTTTGACCTAAACAAAACTATAACTTAGTTTCTCACTGCCTAGATCTTAGCGGGCTTACTTGGCCTGAATTTGTTATGAGTCTTGCCTGTGAAAACTGTGGCAATGATAGCCAGAGTAAGACGATATGACTAAATATTGCGAAAATAAAAAAATAAAGAAATAAAAAAATAAAAAAATAAAAAACAAGCAGTTTTTGAATGTAAAATTATTGGCAAGTGTTCAAACCTGCTACGAAGTGTGAAAAGTGATATTTGCAGATTTGGCTTCCACTCCCAGAACATAACAAAATTAGCCATGTAAAATATATTTATCTACCAGTAAATGCAATAATATATGCCATAATAAGCTCTCATAAAAAAAAAACAAAACAAAACAAAAAAAAAAACAGAAAAGTATTGAAGTAGACACCAAGTAGCTCAAGGGTTTTGGTCTTGCTCTGGGTATTGTCCGTAGTTTAATTATCTGTTTCAAACCTTTAAAAATAAGTATTTGAGAAAAATGAACGAAAGGAAAAGAGGGTAAAGCTTCACTTAAATTCACAGATATATGTACCAACTGGCTTAAAATATATCTACTGAACAGGGTAGTACAGTTAAACATAAGGTGTACAAGCTTTGCAGCAGTACTCGAATACTTTCCCACTGGTACTTTGACTAACCGGATCTCACGTTCCATGTCATGCCGACTATAGTTAATTAAAAAGTTCTCAGATTAACTGTAAGTACGTGTAAATAACATACCACTGTGACAGCCACCAGTCACTTAACGTAAAAGCTCCCTGAGTAACAAAAAAAAAGGAACATCTGTAAAATGCGCTGTTCCATAACGAATTGCTGAATACTGTAAACTGGTGGATGTCATTTTAATCTGATAATAAGGTCAAAAACCCATGCTTTGGTATGGAAGCTACAGTGAGCTAAACGTGGAAGGAGCGGCGTTTAAAGTCAGCCAGTTAGCATGTATTTGTCCTAGTTTAACCTTCACAAAGTGGACATTAAATTGTCTATCATTGAGAGGTTTTACTGGTAATAATAAAATTGAAAAAATTACTCGATTCTGATTGGCTGAGAACAATGCAGTTCAAGTGTAACACCAGTACAAAAAGTGTAACACCAGTGCATATAACACATCGTAATTCTGGATTATGATTGGCTGAAAGACAATAGGAAATTTTCTAAGCCAATGATATCACATACAATGATGACGGAAATGTTGTGCCGAAACTCTGAAAAGAGTTTCCTTGAATGAGTAAAGATGGCTTCCAGAAAGGTCTTCCGGCACTTCCTTCACGCGAATTTTCTCATGTTTATGTTATTAATTATTATTAGTTTATGTCAATTTGGAATTCATTTGCACTTGTGAGTTTTTCAAAAAATTGAAATTGCACTCGCCGAAGCGGCTCGTGCAATTTCAGCTTTTTGAAAAACTCACCCGCGCAAATTAATTTTACATTGAACTCGAAACCGTATGATTACCTATGTGAATTCAAGGCTAAAAATGGTAAACGGTTTTTGCTGTATAACATGATAGCAAATAGTTAGTTTAATAACTTCCTGGTTACCTGAGCACAAACACAGAGGACCAATAGCAAAAGTAGTGCTACACAATTTCCTCCTGCTCTAAAATATCTCAGGTATAAAGTGTAGGGAATGTTTCCTCTTGGCCGTTCTTCACTCTCCACTTGGGGCTTTTCCGTTGCCTTGAAAGTAAAGAAGAGCAACAGATGCAATTGTTACGCATTTGCTATCAAAATAAGCCACCTTTGCCTTATTACACAACTACTTACTAAAATCAGTCAATGAAAAATGGTGTACAGTTCAATCACACCTCGGTCTCTACTCATTATACAGGCCTTGTTACGCTCAATCCAAACAGTCAAGACAATATTCTCCCAGTAAACATGTATATCATTATATGCAGGTACATTAATAAGTTGGACAATCCTTCCCTTTGATCTTTAATATCGTAAAAACTCGAAAACAACGATTGTCGGAAAATAGCAATATAATTGCACAGTTGCTAGTAAACCTAAAGAGTAAATGTAGCCATTGTAGCGACCTGCCGTAAAATGCAACATTACCATTCAATAGCGAATGTGAGAGTATACAACTGCTTCTTATTCTTATTCTTATTCTTATTCTTATTGATACACATTTAAGACTACAAAGGCTACTAATACCCTCGCATTCAAATATTCATTTTTAAATCCAACCTCGTAAAATACTTTTAAACACAAATTGTATCCAAAAGCCGAAAATAACCCAGTTCGCTACTTTACTTTATGGCATCACAAGTCCTGAGGTGATGATGAAATGATGTAGAGTACATTTGAAACTTTAGAACCGGAAGCACTCTCACGTGAGGAGGGAGAAGGGACGGGGGGGGGAGGGGGGTGGTATTTCATAACGGTTAACTATAGTTTGATAACCTATTTTGGTTCTATCTCAATACAAGTTCCAAGTCGTACAATTTCACCTATAATACCTACATACAGGCGAAGTGGTCCACTCTGCCGACACGTAACAAGATTTTATCAACTCTACACTACACAAACATGCATCACAGCATATCTGACAAATCCTTCCTGTCTGTATGGGAGATGCTTCAACCTGCTACAGGAACCACTGGAGTAAGCCACATATCTGTATGTTTCATACTTAGTAATCACCTTATTAGCCATGACCTCAAAGTCTGCCTCTATATCGATAGATGATGCAGTACTCCATCGGTTTATTGCTTTCACACCTTTTGTCCCATTCCCCCTCCTCAAGACAACATTCTGCATTTTAATGGGTTGCACTGGCTCTGAATCATCATCAATTGCACTGTCGTTATCATCATCATCATCATTACTCGCGCTCAGAAGAGACACCAGGTCTATTCCCTCACTAGCAAGGTCTGTGTAACTTCCACGACTACGAATTTTCCCCTTTAAAAAAAAAGCCAAACGGGTGAGTAATCAAAAATTAAAAACCTATAATATGATATTAATTATGAATCCTATTCCCAGGAGGATTACAACTACAATTATAATATAGATAGGACCCTTCCAGCGCTCCGATTGGTCAAAAACCCATGTTTTATCAGAGTATAAAACATAGAAAAAGCGTGCTTTATTGTTTTGCACATGTAAAATCTATATCATATAGCAAATAAAGAAGCTTAAGCCGTATATTATACTGTGATAACACACTCCGGACATTTGAGAACACTCGAGAAATGCAGAAAACATTCGCCTGCAGCTCGTGTTTTCTACATTTCCCTCGTGTTGTCGAATGCCAGTCGTGTTTTATGACAGAGCTATCACAGTGTAATACACGGCTTAGGCTTTTTTACTTGTTAAAGTGCACCTAACCCCCAAATTTTTTTTTCGCTAAAATGAATCTACATGTTATTTGAAATACTTCTGCAAAAAAATTTTTGGATTCGGTTAAATCCTCGATTTTCTGTGCCCCGACGAAATCTCGAAAATAGCCCCAAAACACCGCCATTTTGTTTCACGACCGAGT